TAGCAGGCTTGTCTCCAGAGTCAGAATGCTGGGGTTCAGGAAGGGCCAATCATTACAGCCCTCTGAGAGTGTGATAACTTACTCAAACACAGGAAGTGTGCAGCCCTGCAGTGTCGAAGGAAGCTAGCAGACCCTGGCAGATTCCCAGTGGTCTACAGACAGGAGACAACAGACTATGAAGGGACAAAAGACGGCGACCACTTAATGGCCACAGTGATGACGTAATCCACTTAAAGGCAGGCCATGCCCCTAGCCAGCCGGACAGAAGACAGCATGTTGTCTGGAGCGGGAACTAGAAAGTGGGGCAACTCAGAAGATGGCTTGGAAGAGGGCTGCCCCACTGCCTAAGGACTGCATTCCCCTGCCGCCACAACCCCCTTTTCACCCTTCAGAACTCCCCCTCTGAACCTCAAGCATTATCTCAAAAAGCTGGAGGTTCTTCATCTCTGGGATGGGCATGATGAACCCCTGTAAGCTGTGATCATGTCAACAGAATGAGAGGGTAGGGCTTGGGAGCTCTGGAAAGTGGCATGGCTAACATCTCATAGCTAAGGAGTTGCAATGTTGGGCTCACACCAGAATGTGGAATAAGTCAAGCCTGGGATCCATCCGTGTCTCGGGGGAAATCAGAGGCAGAAAACAAGACAATCTTCCATCGATCCAGTGGAGGAAAATCATAAAGGTTTATTGGGCCAGAGCACTTGGCCAGGGTCTCTCAGGGCCAGCGTGACTGCTTGGCCCTGCTTGCTCATTTCCAGTCAGGAAGGGCCACTGTTTCCAGGAGCCAGAACACTGACCAGGGTTGCCAGGATAATGAGCAGCCCCTGCCACGAGTCCAGGAAGGACCCAGCTGCCCTAGATCCGCTAAAGGATACACAGAGCCACTGCACCGAGGGGAGTCCAGCCGCACAGCATGGAGCCCTGGAGCGGACCAACCTGGACCATTCAGGTCCAGCCACGAGACCCTGTGTCCAGTCCCCTCCAGCAAATCTCAGTGAGATTCAACAGGCCTTTCTTGAAAAGCACCAACAGCTAGTGCCAAGTCCAGGCCTCCCTTCCTGCCCAAGCTTCCAGGGTCACTCCTCATGTACTCTGTGAGGAACACAGCCTGCAGGCTGCCCCTTTCTGTTGAATACTGTGTCTGGACCTCCTGCAAAGGCCTGACCACTGCATAGCCCCACAGAACACTATTCTTCTGTGACAAGGCCCCTCACTAGAGAGTCCATAGTCAAGGCCTTGTTGGATCCCAGTCCAGGTGAGCAATCCTCGCCAGTAAGCCACCTACCTGTCTGCCTACCTGTCGTCTGCCTGCAGCAGCCACCAACTTGACTCGAGTCCTAACAGGTTCCACCCATGCTCTGGGTATGAAACCAAGCAAAGTATATCTCCACCCACCCTGAACTCAGAAAGCCTTGGGGCTGATGGGAAAATCTGATAGCTGGGACAAAGTAAAGGAGCCTGGGGTGATGGGCACCAGAGGGCAGCCCTAGATATCTGACAGGGCACTTTGAACGATGGCCTCAACTACCCAGACGAGGTACTCGAGACGTGAAAGTCTTGGGAAAACTCTTCGAGACACCTGTTTTGTTGGCGGGTACCACCTGCTGTGCCAGAGGACCCGGCCAAGACAATTCGGCAGAAAGGAGTTCAGGGCAGCACTAACAGAGAGTAAGCGTGGAGAAGTAAGAAGAGTTCAAGTCCATGGTCAGCTCCGTCGCAACCTCCAGTTCAGCAAACATTGGCCAGGAACCCATCGAGTCCCTGCCCCAAGGCCACAGCTGGCTGTGAGTGGGGTGGCAGGCAGGCAGGGAGGCAGAGAAATATGACTACAGTTGGTGCCGGCAACTTGAGTCAGGATGCATGTTTTTCTCTCCTAAGACTGTAAACTGTATCTCCTCCCTGCCTGCCTTGGCACACTGGAGGAGACAGGACCAGAATATTCCATGTACAGAGTGCAAACTCAAAGAGAGTAAACAGTGAGCAAGTGAAGGCAGCAGCACGTCCTGGAAAGACAGCAGTGGCCACGCCTCCTCCCCTTCTGTTATCCGGTCTTTCTGCCACCCAGTCCCCCATTCACAGATCCAGCGACCGCTCGGGAGCCAAGCCGCGCTGAGCATGTCCACACACGGATGAATCCAACGTCTACCTTCAGACTAAGAAGCTCACTGTTACTGGTGAGCACAGTCCGAACTCGAGGGACATAATGAACTACAGCCGGACTGAGCCCCAGGCGAAATTCCACTCACAAGATCAAAATAGATTCCCTAGCCCCAAGCCCACCCACCACGTGTGCCCTGGAAAGAGAAGCAAGCAGCAGAAGCCTACGCCTTACACAGCAACACACTCTTCCCCAACACTGCAGAATGACAAACTCCTCCAACAGCCTTAGGACTGTGTGTGTCTGGGGTCCAGTGGAAGGTAACTCAGAACTCCACAATGGGAGACTAACCCAGTTCTTCTTCCTGGGCCCCAGGCTCTTCTTCACCTTTAGGATGAAATCACAACAGACCTTCTCCTTGGGGTTCCCCCAGAATACCTACTGGGTGGTTGTGACTGGTATGACTAGTGTTACTCCTACAGAATGCTCCCATCTCTCCAACAACCAGACTGTGCCCTACCACCTGACCCAACACAAATCCCACACCATGAGAAGATCCCTCTTCAGGGCTCCCACCGCATTATCCATGACTGGCTGGCTACACCTGAGGTCATAGGTCAGTCCTCAACCCACCGCTTGGAGCTTCCCAAACAGTACACTTCAACATCTATACTTCTCCTCCAGGCCTTCTCCTCCTACATAGCCTGCTCCTTTATCCAAACTTGCCCTTTGCCCACTCTGCTTTAGATGCTGTGCTGGGTGCCGAAGGACAAGCAAGGCAAAGGCGCCTACACCGCGGACTCACAAGAGCCTGAGGGAGTGAAGGGCATTGCAAACAACAGGCTTGGAATGGACATACAGGTGAGCAAAAGGAAAACAATACAGGGCATGCAGGAAAACAGGGACCTGTGCACAGGAAACAAAACCCGAAAGTACTGACTAGAGCCCTAGATTCAAGTCAGATGCAGAGAGAGCTTCAACCTACGAACAGGGAACTAAGGAAGGGATATAATGACGTCTGCCTGTATGTGAGCCCCCAGACACAGGCAGGGCCAGAGATAGGGCCCAGACTGTTGTCCCAGCATCTGTGTATGGCCATACAAGGAGACGCCCAAGGAAACTCGACTAAGCAAAGTCAAAGGAGCCACGGGCTGTTAGATGCGAATGCCAGCTAGCATTAGTCAGGGACACAAGCCACCCAGCTAAAACTCAACCTCCTGCAAGAATCCTCCCGGCCTTTTAACGGGCCTCCCCCCAGCCATCTGGAGTCACAGTTTGCTTCTGACCTCCCAGATACTGGGTCCCAGTACCTGGTGCATGATATTCCAACCACAAGCTTAACGGTGGATGAAGCTGGATGACTGGAAAGTACAGTGGTACCCCTGGACCTTTACCACTCACAGATTTTGACCTGCACCTCTAGCCTATGAGGACAGCCACTGTGCAGGTCCACGCCACGCAGCAATCCCAATCTCTGCCTCACAGGCACAAAAGGGAACCCAGAGAGCAAGCAGTGGCAGTGTGCAAATACCAGGTGCCGGGAAGAAAAAGAGGAGCCAGGAAACACCCAGAGAGAGGTCAGGAAGTGACTGTGAGACAGCTGGCACCAGGCCAGGGCCTAAGAGAAAGGCAGGCAGGCACGCAGGGGTAGAAAGGTACATGGCTGGATGATGGATAGAGGAGCTGCACCGGGGTCCAGGAAGTTCAGGAAGACTGAAAAGGTCCTCCTACCTGTGCTGTCCAACCTGCATGTGTGGCTCCGAGGCTAATTTAGTTACAAGTGACTGGAGACTGCCACCCTGGACATCTGAGACAAAGGTGGAGAGAAAGGTGGGACAGGAGTCTACAAACAACAGGTGTCCCCGGATGGGGGGGGATCCCGCGGGGATACTGCAGATCCAGACCACCCGGAAGCCCCAAAGGGATCCCGCTGAGGCACTGTGTGCAATTTGAGAAACGGAATATGGAGAGACACACAAGATCGTGATCTCCAGCAAAGGCTCAAGAGCTGATCCTCCCTCAGAGCCTCGGGGGACACCCCTGGCAGCTACCAAGTGAGTTCGCGGGCGCTCCAGGTGCAGCGCAGTCCTCAAGAGTGGGTCGCGAGGACACCAGCCAGACTTGGAGAGACTCTGCCCGCCAAGACCGCCCTCGCCCACGCGGTGCCCAAGCCAGGCACCCTAGCCCAGCATCCCGGATACGTGTCCCTCATCGCGTGCCCGGCACCAAGGTTGCAAGCCCCGCACTCTGGTCTTGCACCCGGCCCCGCCCACTCAGGAACTCCAGGCTCCGCCCCGCCCGCTCCCAAGGCCGCCTCCTCACCTGCCTCACCTGCCTCACCTCTGGGGCGCGCTCCAACATTCGCAGAGGGAGGGAGGCGAGCCCGGCTGGCACCCAAATATCACGTGACGAGGAAACCAGCCAATGGCGCGCGGCCCTCTGCACGCCGGCCGGCGGACTGCGAGTCCCAGTGTGCCCCGCGAGGATGGGGGTGGAGGGGTGGGGGGGAAGACAGCACGACGGCGGCTGACCCGGCCAAAAGACGCCGCCGGAGGGTTTACTCTTTTTCAGGTCCAAAAAGACTGAGGGTGAAGTGAGAAGAGGAAGCTGGACCTGGCCTCAGGCGCGCCCAGCTGGGAAGACTCGGTTACCGGGTGCCTGGGCATTAACTTCCCTCGTGGACACAGACCGGGAATTTGAGGATGAGAGCAGCTAAAGGACCATGCATGGGAGCTGCGTATTGACTCGGGGTGGCCCTTTGGGGACCTTACCTGGATATTCAATCTCAGCCTAGCACTGGGCTTCCTGAAGGTTCCCCTCCATTCTCCAGTGGATACACGGGAGGAAGAGCCAGACCTGGGAGGAGCGTGGGCCAGGATGTGTCACCAGCGGATCCTGAGCCCCACAGATGAGCCCAGATCATGCGGGGGCAACAGGAGAACATGACTTGCCCTGGCCTTTGCTGATCACGTGGTCCTACCTAGTGGATCCTTCTTTGAGCCCATTCTCCAGCAAGGTCAAACACCTGCTGGCACTTCCTGCACAGGCTGCTGAGCTCCCCCCCCCCCCCCCCGCACTGAGCTTGCCCCCTGCAACTTGTGGGGGGGGGCGGGGGCGGCGTGGGGGGAATCCCCGGACAAGTAGAATCGGGAATATGACCACACACCAAAACTTCCTGTGAAGGGTCTGTGTGCCACTGGGCACCAGTCTATAGATCTCAGTGTCGGCTGAGATTTCTAGAGCAACTCCTGGGTCCTGTGTGTACAGGGGTTTAAGTGCATGAACATTGTGTGCATGTGAGTGCCGAGTGGCTTGTGAACCCCAGCTGTGTGCCTGTGAGGTGTGTGAGCAAGTGCTTCATGTAGGAACCCAAATACCAGCATGTATTCCGGACACTGAGGCACTAGTGTGTATGCACGCCATGAACGGCTATGTGAGCAGAGAGTGTGAAAATATGAGGGGGCATGAACCCGCACACCAGGGATGGGTGTTCCTGCCTGTACTGGAGGTGAACATGGATTCTAGCTCACACTGGCATAAGTTTGTGTCCAGGCACATGCATGGGAACAGTTGTTCATGGTACCGTCATGCATGAGGAGGGCAGAGGAGGCTGGGTGGGCCAGGCTGTGCACATGCCCAGCTCTGCCTGTGCTGGGCTAGACTCAGGCACTTAGGAGGAAGGGTCACCAAGGGTCAAGGCCTGTGTGAGGGCTGGGTGGCCACTCTGGCCCTGCCTCTCTTATCTCTCCCAGGATGGGGAAGAAGGAGGGGAAGGCTGGGTGTGTGGTTCAGTGGTCCAGGCCTGGGTTCCATCCCCAGTAGCACAGAAAAAGAGGAAAACGAAGTGTGCTTTCCACAGGGTGACCTCTCCAGGATGGTTTCCTCTCTTACCCCATGGGCTACGTGGTTTCTGGGGGCTGTGAAAGGGTCCACTTCGGGCAGGAGCTACCAGAAGAAGGGCTCGATGCTTCCTCTCAAGTCTGGGGTAAGGCCATCTTGCCTCCTACAGGGAGATAGGGTGCTCACTCCTACAGACCGAGCATAGCAGAGAAGGGAACAGGAGGAAGGGAGGCAGCCAGCCCAAGGCCTGGGGGGTAGGTCCGGGGTCAGAGCTCACCTGGGCAGAGTTGATACATGGTCTCCAGCAGGTCTGGATTTCATTCCCCCAGATCACAGACACCACAGAGTGAGTGTCTGGGACTGGCCTCTTCGGGGTGGACTCTGCCACTTAAGGGTCAGGGTTAGCTTCTGACAGCCTGGATTTGGGACAACAGGTGGAGATAGTTCCAAAACCTTTGGAAGGACCCTGGGCTCAACAACTTTAGCTGCATGAGAGGCTCATGAAGAAACCACCAGACCCCTAGAAGCCACATGGGTGGCCCTGGTCTAGACTGTACCTGCAAACCCAGCAGAAATGACTGCTCAGTAAGGGTCTCATCTCCTAATGTCCCTTCAATGTGCAGCAGCACAAGATGTCTGTGCCCTCCCACTCTGTCCCCTCAACAGCCTTCATCCTCTCATTAAATCATTTCAGGACCCCTTAGCCTCTTACTAATAGAACCCCAATTTTTCTCAGTATGGACAGGTGCCCAGCTCAGCTGGCCATGTGCCTCAGTCATGGCTAGGAATGACAGCAGGGTAAATAGTCTCCAAACCCTTCAGAAGGCCAGAGGTAGCTGGCTAGCCCCCCTCACTGCCTCTTCCTCTTCTCCAGCCTGAAATGTACGCACAGCAGTTTCAGGTTAGGGCCATGGAATAAGGCCATCACCTTGTCAGACTCAGCCAACACCTTTGTCCCATCTCCCAGCCTGAACCTCCTGCCTGGAAGTGCCTCCTACCCAGGGCTCTGTCTCCACCCTCACTCAAGCACCAACCCAGGCAGCCTTCGGTGTGCCTACCCTCCTCTAGCATAGAACTGACCCTATGGCCTCCCTACCCCAAAGTGAAGGTCCTGTTTGGTGGCCCCTGGTATGTGAGTATTTTTCATAGTGTGTTTGCCAAATGAGTATATAATAGATCAAAGTGACTGAGCAAGAAGGTTGGAGATCATGTAGAATATTCTAAAGAAAACAGATCAGAAGCAGGGAAAGGGTTCCAGGGCCACAGAACTCCACCCCACCCCCACCCTCAGTAGAAGCAGGAGTCCCCAAGGACTGAATGCCTCCTGGGTGGACAGCCTCTTCCCTGTCCCAGGGTCCTTCGGCTCTCAGCAGCTACCCTGTTTGTCTGAACAAGATCCCAGCTACTCTTCTCTGTCCTGACATTTGTTTCTGAATGAAGAACAGGCAGGCAAGGGCAGAGAGCACCAGGGGAATGGCCCTGGAGCCCAAGCCCCCTCATCCTGCCAGTTCCATGAGGCCTGTGGGGAGACCAGGATGTGTACAGAAACAAAGTCATCAGGTATCTTGGACTCCTCAAATGTCGTAGGAAGAAGGTAACCCAGGCTAGACCTCAACTGGCTGTGTCCCTGCACCCTTTATAGGGAGCTCCCAGGACCTCAAAGCCCATTATAGCAGGTATGCTAGGAGAGGCTGTCTTGATATTGGTGACGCCACCAACCATGGGACTCTACTCTCTGTGTTCACCAAGAAAGCACAGGAATTACACAGGAAAGAAGCCACGGGTTAGCAGAGGGTGGGAACTCAGGACAGATAGGGCAGTGATGGGCAGCTAGAGCCTGGGCTGGGACTCACAGCTACTCTGGCTATTCTATTCCCTACTCTAGACAAGTCAGGCTCTCCTGATGTTTGGTGACAAGTCAGATGGTGGAGAGCTTAGCCTGGAGCACCAAGCAGCTCTGCGTCCTTGACAAAGGCATTCCTCTTATCTCTATCCCTCAAAGGAGAGAACTTTGATCTTTATCTTGCTGCTCAGTGGGAAGGGCAGAGGAGGCTATCCTGGCTGGGCCCTGGTTCCCTTGCTGAATTTCCCACATAGCCTTGAGAAGAAGAGCCATTGCTCCTCTGTAGCTAGAGTTTTCCTGCCTGGCCCACAGTCAGGACAAATCTCTCTCACCTGCCAGTCCCACAGCCGCTCAGACCCGACCAAGTAAACACAGAGACTTATATTGGTTACAAACTGTATGGTCGTGGCAGGCTTCTTGCTAACTGTTCTTACAGCTTAAATTAATCCATTTCTATAAATCTGTACCTTGCCACGTGGCTCATGGCTTACCGGCATCTTCACATTCTGCTTGTCATGGCGGCAGCTGGCAGTGACTCCTTCTGCCTTCCTGTTCTTTCTTTTCTCCTCTCTGTTAGTCCCGCCTATACTTCCTGCCTAGCCACTGGCCAATCGGTGTTTTATTTATTGACCAATCAGAGCAACACATTTGCCATACAGAACATCCCACAGCACTCCTCCCTGCAGGACCAACTCCAAGTTCCCAAGGGCAAGTCCATACATGGTATTTCCAGGGCCTGGTGGCTTCTGCCATCTGTGATCCTGTCCCCGTGAAGGCAGAAAATTCCTGAGTAGGCCCACACTCATAATACCTGTGCTGTGGGCAGTAAGGGGCAGAATCTTCAGGCAAAAGGCCATGAGAGAGGGTAGTCATGTCAAGGAGCACCCAGCACCAGCCTGGCAAGGCTGTAGGGATTCTCAGCCTATCTCTGTTCAGGGAGCCCATGGAGGAGGACCAAGCTTTCTCTTCCCCCAGACCACATTGCTGAAACCCAGCCTTGACATCTCCACCTCACTCTCAGCTTCCTCGCCTTGAGCCAGGGCATCTCTTCAGTGTCTGCAAAAATCTCATGTGCCATAAAATCTTGCTGGGGTTCCCTGACCAATACTCCCACATATGCATGGCCACATCAGGATCACACATTTACAGAGGAGAGGGAAGTTACTTGCATTGTTCCTTCATTGGAATCAAGGAAGAACCTGCTGCTGGCTTTATCCTGGAGGCCAGACCTCAGACTTCAGGCATGCTGCAGAGTAGCTGCCCGGCTAGAGCTGCAGGGAACTGGTAGCCTTCTGTACAAACCCATCCCTTTGGCATCCCTCAACTGGAGCCCTGTATCCACAAGTCCCCACCCAACAGTGTGAAGAGAGCTTGAGGTGGCAGGAAGGAGGCTAAGAAGCCTCATGGACAGAGGCTTGAAGTGGACTCCAGCCACAGCATTGTCATCACGACAGATAAGTGGCCTATTAAGTCTTAGCTCTGATGTGACCAGTTGGTCCCACTGCCCAGCCCAGCCTGGCCTGAGGAGAGCAGTGACCACTCTTGTTTTGTCTTGCTGGGCAGCTATGGGCAGTTGCTCCTCTCGCTGGGCCTCAGCTCCATAGAGGAGAAGCACATACTTGAGAGCAGCCTAGGGAGATGCTTCCAAGGAGTCTGGGGCAGTGATAAGTGCCACACAGGATTGGTTGTTAGCTTTCATGATCCCCCATCTCATCCCACACCCCCACGGGCCTTTGGGTTTGCCTGAAGGACCATTTTCCATCCATGCCATGATGGCGGTTTGGGGCCTTTCCATCTACAAGGTGGGCTAGGGCCCTCTGTACCTCATCCTGGATGAGAGAGTAGATAGTCTCCAGGTGGCCTGATGGTGCCACCTCCACATTCCTTTGCATTTTGACTTGTAGCACCAGGCTCCAATCTAGCTGTCCATTCACTTACTTGACAGGTGTCTGCAAGCTACAAGCCACCATCAAAGCCCTAACCTGTCCTCAAGAAGACACTGCAATGAGGGCTGTGTTGCATACACCCAGACATGCACCCTCTGTGTCTCAGGCAAAAGAATCAGGACCCTGAATCTCCAGCACAGAAAAACAGGCTGCTTTGTTTTGCTCCTTAATAAACGGCAAAGAGCAGGTGTAGACTGCCCGCCAGGGAAAGCACAAGGATCAGAACTGAGTACCTAACACCCCCGTGATGTCTGCTTCAGGTCTGCTCAGCAGCCTCCCCCCCACACCACCCCCACAACAGTGGGCCAGCACCAGGGCGGGAGGCGTTGGGAGTATTGACGGTATTGGGCGATCGTCGCTGTATTTATAGGGTTTGGAGGAGATAAAAATAAAGTGAGGAGGAGCCCGCTGAGTCACAGCAGCGTTCGCAGTGTGGTCTCTGCTTCTCGCCTGATGCTGAGCCTTGGCCAAGATGTGCAAGAGCACAGGAAAGGGGGACCTGCTGGTGCATCTACGCAGTGATGTGTTCCTTGGGCGCCTGTAGCAAGCATCCCACCAAACCCAGAACCAGGCCTCCACAAACACACCTTCTGCTTTTTAGATTCAAGGCCTGTGTCGGTGGGAAGCCCCACGAGGTAGTGTTTAGTAAGCAAGTAGGGTCGGCGCTCAGTGTGACCAGGGTTAGGGCTCAGAGTACAACAAGGATCAGGATTCAACGAGTGGCCAAGGATAAGGCTTCACTTGGACCCTGAGGAGGAGACACTGCTACAGCACTGAACCCCATATGGGATCACTCCTCAGGTTCTGCTCTTGGAGTCTGCCTAGCCTTGAAGTATCCCCTCCACACACTCCCACGGTGCACAGAGGCTCTCATGTCACCAGGTTGTTCGGAGGGCTTGGTGCGCTGTCAAGAAGCTGTGTCATCATGTGATGTGTCTTAACCTGTCAGGCCTTCTTTACCGTGTTCCCCCAGGGAGGCTTGCTCTCTTCCTGTGCCTGGAACTCTGCTACCCAGTGGAGCCAGCTCTAAGGTGAGCAGAGCCTCTCTCCTGAAGCTGCCTCGTGGGAGTGCTCAGAAGTCCCTGCTTCTGGTTCCAATCCTGTCCACTCCTTGGACTCAGAATTTAAGGTGTCTTCATAGGGATGACTGATCCCCATCAGGCTGAAGCACCTGTTCCCAAAATGTAAGTGTTCCCAGCTCTCAGCCACAGTGGGTCCCTCGACGGATGTGTTCTGTGATGAATCTTTTTGCTATCCACAGGGCAGCCCCACCCCAGGACTGCTAGTGTCCTGAGCTTGCCCCAAGGGACCCCAGACAACAGGGCTGTCCCAGGTTCCCAGCATCCTCTCCGATTGGGAAAGACCTCAGGACCCCAGCACCAGCCTTTCAGTGTCTTCCTCTGCCTTTTCAGCATTCCCAGTGAGCCACCAGTAAATGGCGCCCTCAGCACTTGCTTTCATAATTCATAAGAAGTCTCCATGTCATTATTTGGGAGCTGGATGGCAGGACAGAAAAACTCATTTATACTTGCCTCCCGATAGGAGCCCCTTTTCTGTGCTGGCCCCTTTGGCGGGCTCTTCCTGTTGTTCCCTAACCTATTCAGGCTGCTAAGAGACCTCACTGTTGGGGCAAGCAAGATGACACCAAGGCAAAGATGCCTGCTGCTCAACAATCTGAGTTCAGTCCTTGGAAGCCATGTAAAGATGGACAGAGAGAAATGACTTCATAAAATTGTCCTTTGACCTCCACACATGCACCTGGTAGACATGCTCCCCCCATAAGTGAGAGAGAGAGAGAGAGAGAGAGAGAGAGAGAGAGAGAGAGAGAGAGAGAGAGAGAGAGAGAGAGAGAGAGACTGTTTTTGCAACTTTCTGTAAGACAATCATCACTTTGAAATAAGAAGTAAGGAAGGCAAAAAACATAGACAGATGCTTCACCAAAGGGGATATTGGTGAGAGATATTCAGCACCATCAGTCACTGAGGGCTGTAGATTCCGGTCACAATCAGAAGCCATCTCACACGTTTAGAAAGACTGATAGGAAAACAACTGAGCTGGAGGCACCCCACGCTTGCCATGGGAGAGCAAAATGGCCCAGTCACTCTGGATGGCTTGGTGGTTTCTCATCACCGAGTGAGAGAGATTGCAGTGCCCGGGAATCCCATTGGAGGCGCTTCTCTGCATGCAATGACATCTGTGTTCACAGAAACTCACACGGGGACCTTCTCAGGGCCTTCCTCTGCAAAAGCTTGAGCTTAGGACTGCCAGCAACTCTACGCAGGTGGGTTTCTGAGCAGAGGGCAGCACATCTGTGCAGTGCACCAGTGTAGAAGGGGACCAGTGACAGAGAAGTTGACCTCCATGTGTGAACATGGTGGCTTTCAATGGACTAGGAAGCCATCTCAGAAGGTGGCCCTCTGCACCGTTTTGGCTGACAGTCTCAGAGAGACAAACCTAGCCCAGGAGAACAAAGGAGTAGCTGCCAGGCAGGGCTGGGAAAGTGGGTGGCAGGGAGGGCTGGGGGTGACAGAAGTCTTCACTGTCTGGACTATGTTCACCATTATATGGAAAAGGACCAGAAAAGGCACAGAACCCCATGTTAGGGTTTGACTATGAGGTGTCCCTCAGAAAGCCTCATGGGCGCAAGGTTTGGTCCCCAGTTTGCTGCTGAGGGCTGGCTGGATCAAAAGGGTGCTAACCTAGCAATGGCTTAACCCATTCAGAACTTGTTATCCAACTTGGGGATGGGTCACCACATGTGTCCCAAGTCAGGTCCAGCCACCTGCCCTCAGGAGCAAATTAAAAGAGTCAAATTCAAAGTGGAAGGCAGGAAAGGGGAGATGTATTATTGATTGTAGCCACATCAGGAAGAGGGACAAAGAGATCCAGTGAACAGCCCAAGTCCATCTTCTGGGTCCTGAAGTGAGATCAAAGTTTAAAAAGAGAGCTAAGGATGCGCACATCTAAGCAGTCCTGGTCAAGGTGTGGTCCTGCCCACCACTGACCCATCCTCCCCTGGACTTCAGTGTCACCTGTCAGGTGATCTGAGAAGTTTTTAGAACTGTTAGATCTTCTCCCAGGAAACAGGTTCCCATCCAGCTGGCACTCTTCCCTTCTCAGCAGAGATTCCTGGGGAAATTCCCACTTCTTTGGGGGACCCTTCTTTCAATAGCCCGATAGTCAGATTGAGAGACACTAGCATCTCTTTCGAACATCTTCATTTCTAACAAACTGGGCCTAGTGGCACACACTGATCCCAGCTCTTGGAAAGACAGAGGCAGAGGCAGGAGGATCTCCATGAGTTCCAGGCCAGCCATGGCTATAGAGAGAGATCTCATCTCAAAACAATCAAAACCAGAATATCTTCATTTCTGCCATGCCACTTACAAACTCAGAGCTGAGTGGACCATTAGGAGGACCATTAGGAGGACCATTAGGAGGACCATTGGGAGGACCATTGGGAGGATCATTAGGAGGACCATTAGGAGGACCATTAGAAGGCTATGCCTTTGAGGGGCATATTTTTCCCTGGCCCCTTCCTGTGTGTCTCTGTCTATCAGCCTCGCCTGCCCCAGCCACAACCACCACCAACAACAACAACATATACCACCACCATAACCATCACCACCATAACCACCACCACCATAACCACCACCACCACCACCACCACCACCACGAAGCTCTGCCATGGAAACAGCACACACTGAAGTCTCTGTAATCCTTCTTTCCTTAAGTTGTTTTCTAAGGCATTTGGTTACAGTCATAAAAAACCTGTAACAAGGCCCACAGGGAAATCAAATTGTTTCAACTGCCAGAGTTGATAGCCTCCGATGAGGGAAGTCCCTAGAGACTCTGAAGCATCTCTAGGGGTGCTGGGGGAGTCCTGGGATCTAATTGTTACAGCACCATGGATGCCAACACCACTTGTTCCCTACAATGTTGCTCTCAGCCTCCACCTCTGCACCCTCCCCGGGTCACCCTGGCTCCTCTATGGTCATGGGACTGGATCACTTCCCAAGAATGCTGACTCCTTGAGGTGGGTGTTACCAGGCCTCATGGATGAACCTGGGAGCCAGGCAGAGGGTGGGGCTGTAGGGCAGCAACAGACTGGTGTTTGAACCCAGTGTTGGCCTCAGCTGTCATCATATGTCTCTTCTCTCCTAGGCTAGTCCTCCACCCACCCACCATCTACTCTGACCACATCGGGGAACTATGGATGCTCAGGGTCACTGAGGAAGGAAGCATGGAGTCACTGAGGATGCTTCGGGTTGCTCTAGACACTTGAATTTGGGGTATCTGTAGGAGGTCACAGAGGGCTGGGGAAGGAAGGGCCAGTGCGAATGGTGGGAGCTTGAAGCCAAGGCAGGAGTCCCTCAGTCATAGGTCACTGGGGGTGGCTTTTTGTTCACGTATAGGCTCCTGTCTGCCAGGGGCTATGTGTAGAAGGCTAACTAGGTTGTGCTAAAATCCCCCAGGTGCTACAGTTGGAGACTTGCTAATTAGTTAAATGACACTTTAGCGCCACCATTTGTGGCCAGTGGGTGTGAATGGTCCTGCTACTTCTAGGGATCTGGGGCAGCACCCAGGGATCTAGGGCAGGATCCAGCAGTGTGGGTGACCACAGGCTGGGGACAGAGGGCAGGAGCCGGCAGTGTGGGTGACCACAGGCTGGGGACAGAGGGCAGGAGCCGGCAGTGTGGGTAACCACAGGCTGGGGACAGAGGACAGGAGCTGGCAGTATGGGTGACCACAGGCTGGGGACAGAGGACAGGAGCTGGCAGTGTGGGTGACCACAGGCTGGGGACAGAGGACAGGAGTTGGCAGTGTGGGTGACCACAGGCTTGGGGGTGGGAGGAGTTGTCCCTATCCCTTCCTGTCAGTTCCATGATCACTTGGCAGGCAGCTGGGTCATCCTGCATGCTTTGTGCACCCTGCCGGCTGTAAGCCACTGTTCCCTCCTCTGAACAGTCTGCCTTGCACCACAATTGAAGGGCAGCCACTGACAGACCTGCTAGGCATAGCCTGGGCCAAATGCAGATTTTTTTTTTCCCATCCTGATGCTCCCTGTCTGGTGCTCCCTACCTGGTGCTCCCTGCCTGCCGTTCCTGTCCAGAGCAGCTGCCCTGACCATGGATGTCTACAACAGCCCCAAGAGTCTCCAGTGGCCCTGAGTTTTTGCAGTGACCCTCACCTGAAGTGACCTCAACCCTAAGCCTCCTCATTGACTCTGAACATCTACGGTGACACTGACCTCCTACAATAACCTCAACCTCAAGTGTCTGCAGTGACCCCCCAAGCATCCTCGGTAAGTCTGTAGCAACCCAAACATCCTCAAGTGACCTTGAGCTTCTCCAGTGCTCCTGAGTGTCCATCTTCAGTGACCCCAAGCATCCATAGTGACTCTTAGCATCCTCAGCATTAGTCCCACATCCTCATGTCCCTGAGCCCCTCACTGCCCTCTGCCCTGGATCCAATCTTATTTTTACCCCCAACAGATTGGGTTGACAGAGATGGAAGATGTTTGGGTCACCCCAGACTCTGCCACTCTTAGCAGATACTAGAAGGGGATGCTGAGACCCAAGTGCAAACCGAAGCCCTTCATGAAGGCCTCCCCGTCTGCAGCAAGAACTGTTCTAACTCACTGCCTGAAGGCCCTCCTCGTCAGGGGTAGAACTTGGATAAGAAACTTCTAGAAAGACTACATTGACTCCCAGCCCGCCATGTGGCTGACCAGTGAAAACGGGAAGTAAACTTCAAAAGCGGCATAAGCTTTTTCCAGTCCCTGCTGCTTCCTGGTGCTCAGGGAAGACACTGGACAGCTGGGGCTCTAGAAGTCTCGTTGAACCACGAGGCACAAGACACAGCATGAGTAAAGGCCATGGGGGGCTGGGGAAAGCCAAGGTCCCTGGAGTCTTTGTGCTCCGGGAAGAGCGCCATCATGAAGACAAGTCAAAACAGAAGATGATGCAGAGCCAGGAGAGCCACCAAGCGACAGTCAGAGATCCAGCTCTCATCACCTGAGGTCTACAGCAGCCTGGTCATTCTGTTGTCAATGCCAGCCTGCTCCCTGGCTGGTAAGCCCCCTTGAGCTGGGTTTCTGTCAGAGGCCAAAAACACATGTGCTGTGAGGCATGCCTTGCTCAGTGGTCCTGTCGTCATGTGAGGGACCTGAGGAGGGAAAGGAGCCTTGACACACAGGGATGACTTTCCACAGAGGAGAAACGCCAGGTGGATGACAGCGGGGACCTCCACGCAGTGGGGCAAGGCTTGGCCAGACAGGTCCTGGGCATGTCCCCAGTCTCAGTGGGGTCTAGTGTGATTGTACAGTCTGGAATAGGACTGAGCACCTGGCAGCCCCAGGGTCCCAAGCCTGGGGCACCTTACTCATCCTATTTGGCCCAAATTAATGCTCTCGGGTAGCAGTTTGCCTTAGAGCTGTGAGTGATACAATGTGGCCCTTATATCTTTTACAACTGCTCATTAGGCCTCCAGCCTCTCTGGATAGACACATGCTAAGCTCACACATAAAGAGTACACAGACCCATGGCACATAATACATGTAGATGTGTATAACTCATGTGTACATTATATGCATGTCATGCATTTATATATGTGTGGTGTGCACATCCACACAGATTGAGGTACACATGTACAGTAGAGTGCATGTACATTCATGAGTGGCACCTCACGGGTTTGAACATAGTTGTGGACGTACATGCATGAGCCCACATTTACATGTGGTACACATACACAGGGTGCATATGAAGCCACATGGCTGCACACCCTTCTCCTTCTCTCCAAATTCATCAGGGACTGAAGCCCTGGGGCTGGGCATAAGATGAATGAGAGCCAAGGTAGTTGGAGAGAGACTCGCTGCAATGGAAGCTAAGGTCAGCAGCAAAGGCCTGGGGTCCTGCCTTGAGCTTCAGCCACCATACCTTCTCAGCTTTTCCTTGCCTCCTTTTCAGGCTCTAGGAAGACCAGAGGTTACTTGGGGTAGGTGAGGATAAATGAGGGTGTGTCCTCGGTTCACAGAGCCACCCACCCACTTCTGAGGAGTTGCCCAACTCCTGTGTTTAATTCTGACCCAAGACATCCAGAGGGCCATGAGTTGAAGTGCCAAGTGTGAGCCGGACCACAGGCATTTCTGGAACCTTGCAATAGTCTAACTCTCTTGTCCAAGATCTGGAGACTCTGTGGTGTGGTGGCCTGCTCGGATCTTGAATATTTGTACCTGGCTCTCAAAGAGATCAGATGGGTCCTTCAGAGCCCAGGGGGACCTCAGGCCCAGTGTGGGTCTCTGTGAGAAGACCTCTCCAACAAAACCCAGACCCATCTGGTCAGGTCATTTCCCAGCAACCCTACTACACAGGTCACCTGACACTTGAGGGACATCAGTGCTAGGTTAGGGATGAGGGGTAGCATCTCAGGTAGCAGCTTGCTTGCTCCTGCCCTGGAGCTGTGTGTGACACAGTGTGGCCCTTATAACACTTACGACTGCTCATTAGGCCTCCAGCCTCTAGATAGACACATGCTAAGCTCACACATAAAGAGTACACATAAACCAAGCAGCCTCAGTTCAGCCTGAGAGAACAGAATGCTCGGGTTCCCGTGGCTGCCCTTCCTCCAGGACCAAGAACAGGGGATGGGGATGGGTGGATTCAGCCTCATGTCCTGTTCTTTTCTTTGGGGACAGTGGCCTTCCCCACCTTCTAAGGGTTGGAGAGCTGCTGTTCTTCACGCCATCTAAATCTGGGACCCACAGGTCTCCACCACCACAGGCACTAAAGAGGTCAGCCCAGGGGGGCCGAGTTACACAAGCTGAGCCCCAGTTCCTGACCCACATCTCCTGCCTGTCCCCTCCGGCTTCTGTGGGGAATGCACACGGGGTGTGATGCTGGGCTGCGGGGCATGTGTGGGCGTGTGAGACTGTGCCTTTGTACACAGGGGCACGCATGCCCTGGCCTGCTGTCCTTACAGACTTTATCTGTCATACCAGGCTCTTGGTGCCCTGGGCACAGCACAGTTGTGTTCTCCCCTAACGTCCCCCAACGTCTCCCCCTTTGCTTCCCCCCACAAACTCCTATACCACTCCCCATCCCAGCTCCCAACTGAGTCAGCCTGCCACATCCCCACCACCCACAGATCCTTGGATTCATCTCTAAGCAGGACTGACTGCCAAGTGAGACCTTGAGGGAAGAGGTGCTCAGAGAATTGTGGGGATCAGCCTGGCCTCTGACCTTGAAAGGTTACAACGGGAACTGGCCAGACAGCATAGTGTAGTAGCCCTTCCCATGTCTGCATGCCTTGGATGCATGACTGTGCCTGTCACTGTAGATTTCTCACTATGGCTGGTCACGTCACAACAGCCCAGGCACCTTCACTTTCCTAATTTTCTAGCTCTAGTACCAGCTGGGATCAGGGAACACCAGCACCGGAGCCTTTGTTTCCATTATCATCAAACACCAGAATCAGACCACTGCCCTCTGCCACTGTCTCCTCTCTTCCATGTCTCCCTCAGGGCCTCCATAAGCATCATCAGCCACCATAGTCATCCTCAGCCTTGTCCCTGCTTGGGCTTGAACGAACCTGCCTGCAGCTGGCCTTGACGCTCTTGGGGCCTGTGATGGCCCTGTCTAGGTGGGGCTTGGCCTCCCAGCTCCAGGGCTGCATGGGGTCATGTAGCCCCCACCGCAGGCTGCACAGGTTGGCTCAGCAGCAGCTAGCTCCCCCTTGCTAATTCTCTAAATAAACAGTAATGGGAGCTGCTCAGGCTGGCTGGGTTGGGCTTTGTGGGCTGTTTATTTATTTTTTTTCCCTCTTTGCTTTGAATTTATTTTTTTTCCTCCCTCTTCTAAATTGGTGTGGTGTGGGGAATTCATAATTCGCCCTCCTCACTCCCATTTCGGCTCTCTTCCGCTGCCTAATTATCTAATTTGTAATATTCCATCTACCCTCCCTTTCATCTCCCTCCAAACATCCCGACCTGTTCAAATAAATATGTACTTTTAATTTCAAGGCGCCTAATTCAATCTGGCAGACTGCGGTCCCCACTCTCCATTGGGCCTCTCTAGGTGGAAGTCACAGGCCCCGAATCCAGGCCCACTCTCCTTCTGCTATTCTGCCCGTGGACACAGGCAGAGAGAAGTCTGAGACTAGGGGCCTGAGGCAGATGGTTTCTGGCCTGAGCCCTGAGCCCCAGCTGGTCTGTTCTTTCTCTCCTTCCTGTATCCAGGCCCTCGTCTGGGGGGGGCAAGAAGCACCTCCTGTGAATGTACCAAAGCTCGGTAATAGAGTGGACCAGACTCAGACTATTCAAGTAATAGAATGTCCTCCTAACCCCACTAGTTTCCTCAACAGGGTGGACCCAGGGAACTGTTCCTCATACTATCCCACAACTCACTACTGACAGCAACATCCTCCCTGGAGACTATGTCCTTCCTGCTACAGACAGACAGACAGACATGCATGCTAGAGCACACACACACACACACACACAGAGAGAGAGAGAGAGAGAGAGAGAGAGAGAGAGAGAGAGAGACAGAGACAGAGACAGAGACAGAGACAGAGACAGAAAGACAGAGACAGAGACAGAGAGGGAGACAGAGACAGAGAGACCACACTGTCCTTGGACATGACATGAGCTCCAAAACACAGGCTGGAGAATTGAAGTTCCGGGCCTGCCACCCAGACTACTTAAGGACAGGGATACCTGTAGGGACAGGGAAGCTGAGGCTCCCATCCTGGTCACTTGATCAAGCTTGGCTCTGATAACCTGAGAGGTCTTCTCTAGGGGAGACCTCAGACTCCACCAGCCACACACCTGAGGTCACTTACCTAATGGATAACGCGAACCCCCAACTAGGTGAGGGCTCACCTTGAAGTGAAGTCTCGGACGACTGGCCTTTGCACTCTGGTGCTCTTCATTTGGCCAGTTCGCTTACTTCCTCTGGGTATGTCTGGCCAAGTAAGAGCTACCCTGGAAGTTCAGAAATGAGGCATGGGGGATGGCAGTCATCCAGTAATCTCCAAGTCCCACGGGCTTGGGCTAGGGAGCATGGGGGCATCCTTCTCTCTGAACGAACAGGGCTACTGTCTCAGCTGATGTACAGTCAGTATATCTTACATCAGGTTACACCTCTGCCAGGCCCTGACTTCCACTATGTGTATCGTTCCTTCACAACATGGACATTAGGGTCTGCTTTCCTGTCCCTCTCAGCTTCTGAGACCAGTAGGAATATCAAAGGGGCCTAAACAGGTGAAAGGGGCAGCAGGATGCATGTCTACACCCTCTGGCAGGATTATCTAAAACAGGATACAGCAATCGCCAGATATGGAGTGATGCTCACGTGCCCCCCTGGAGTGTCGGCAATCTCTCCAAATTCAGGGTGCACAAACCCTTGCACCCAGCACTTTTGCATGCCAGAGACCCCCCGTGTGGATGAGGGGTGGATGAGGATGTGGTACTGGGAGCTCTAGGGAGAGAAGCAGATGTGGAACTTGGCTACCCAGATTCATTCATCCTCAGTGTACCACATATGATAATCCACCGTGTTTATGGGGCAACTGGTGAGGTAGAACGTGCAGAAATAGCATTCAGGGACTGAGCTGGGTGAATGAACTGGCATGCATTCTCACAGTGGAGTACTATTCAGCCACAAGAATGAATAAGCATAGAGCCACGACTTCGCTGGGAATATATCTTCCTACAAAGCTGATACTACAAAAGGACCATGTAGAAAGAGTAAGATCTGGATGCCTATGACAGTGATTCCTAGGAGCCTGGTGACTCCTCCTTGTGCTATACAGACTGAGATGCAGCTTAAAGAAGATGCAAAGGAGACAAGGAATGTTCCAGCACCTTAGTCAAGGCAGCAGGAAGAGAGACCTGAACACCGTAAACCCTGAGGCTGGAATGGAAAGTGGGAGGTGGACTCTGCAACTCACTTGCTTTTCAGTAGAGTTGAAATACTATATGAACTTCAAAAGAAAATTTGTACTCGGTGATCCAGAATGGTAAGAATTTCTCCCCAGGGAGACAAAAAATGTCTACTCTTTCCTAAGATTCTAACAACAAATGGAAGTATAATCCCATCCAAATTTACTCTGGGGTTTTTTGGGCTTACTTGCAGAGTGTAGGTGAGAGGATACTTGCAGAAGCATGGGAGATGCGAAAGCAGCCATACTGTATAGTCTTCACCCAGCATAGATGATGGCTTCCCCATAGCCACATAGATGGAACCCCTTCTCAATTAACCTCCCCTGGCCTATGTACTCTAAAATCTCTGCAGATTCAGGCCACCTGCAATTAGGGAAGAACTGCATACAGTTAGCTCAGAAGAAAACTGGAATTTGAGGTAAGGGTCCAATGACCCTGCCTTCTTCTACAAGGGCATGTCAACAGTCAATAAGCCTGATGGGACTAGACCCTTGGCAAGCAGGCACATCTTTACAACTAGTGAATACGGGGACTGTTTCGACTGAAGGACTGCATTCTGCAACACCCAGCACACTCCTGAGCCCTGGCAGGTGGGTATATGCAGGTTGGCCTGAAGAGGAAGAGGTTCCTGGGATCCTAAGCTGTCTTACCACCTAGTAGTGGGAAGTCTGGAAGGAGATCTTCCTGGGGTTGATGTGAATGACTCGAGCAGGTGGTACCCAGAGATGTCCCATCTCTCCATCACAGCCCCTTGAAAGGACAACAGCGTTGTCTCCCTCCATGTGCTGCTGAGCCTCTGCCTGCTCACAGAAGAACTTGGGTACCTCAGTCTCAACAAGACCCTGCTGCAACCAGGGCTCACTCTCTGTGTCTCTGTCTCTGTCTCTCTTTCTCTCTCTCTTTCTCTCTCTATCTCTCTCTCTGTCATAGGCTAAGGCAGCACCCATCTGGGCCCTTCAGAGATGCAAAGCATTAAAGTCACATGAGATACAGTGGGTGAGCATGACCCTGAAGGGGCAGGGATTCGGGAGACTTGTATAATCCAGACCATCTTCTCACCTGCGTGCCCACTCATGTGCATATATGAATGCATATGTGGGCTGTTGTGTGCACCTTTGTATGCTTGCACACATGAGCATCCCTCACTTGAGGCTGTGGGAGTTTCAGCTCAGAGTGAGCCAAGTACAGGCAGACATCCAGAGGCTCTGAGGAACTGTGGAACCCAGCTCAGCTGCTTGGGCTCAGTTTTAGTTGAGGATGGAGAGAAGGAAGGCCCCGGCTTCTGGCTTGTAGTTGTAGAAAAGGTGGGAGATGGCTGCAGAGCAATGGGGGATCCTGAGGGTTTGGGGTGGAGTGACTAGCCCCTGCCTGCTTATGTCTGTTCTCATCCATGTGTCAACTGCTCTGCAGTTGTAAAATCAGGTGACCTTGGACCCAGATCTGTGCCAAGGGCTCTGATAAATGCAGAAGTAAGGGCATTCCTGTCCAGCTAGGGGTCTGCCAATAGGCATGTGGGATTAGCACTGAACAGAGGCCATCAGAGTGGGAAGAATATGCTGAGATGGCCACAAGTGCAATGACAAAGACATTAGGAAAGTATCTCTGTAGGCATACAGGAGAGCATCAGACTCCTGTTTGAGGTCCCTGCGACATTCAAACCAGAAAGGGCCATTGTTTTTTTTAACACTTTCAAAGCCAGTGTCATCATCCCCACTACTATCACCAGCACCACTATTACCACGACTATCACTACTATTCATCACCACCATCACCAACAAAACCACCACCACCACCATCACCACTGCCGTCATAACCACACTATCGCCATGATCACCATTCTGTCACCCATGACCACCACCGTTATCACTACCACCGTCATCACAACCACCATCATTACCATCACTAACATCATCACCACCACCACCGTGTTCCCCAGAAAACCATGAGCAGACAACTGTACAGACCCTTTGGGGGTCTGTATGGCGTACTTGGCGGCTTGGTCCAGAAGGACATGAGAGGGTTGCCAGGCTAGTTGATTCTCACGTGACCTTGTGCACTGATTTGCTACTTCTGGACCTCAATTTTCCCACTTTTAACAGGAAACTGTGCTTCCTGACCTCTCTACTCCCCCATGTTGCTCTGAGAGTGGATAACTAGAACTCTCTGATGTGTTCTGTGAGCTCTAAAGTGGCATGCAGATGCTCTGGATTTTACTGCTCCCAGGGAGGACCTTCCCCAGCCACACCCTTCCTCAGCCCCTTCTAGCAACCACTCACTTGTGGGTCTTAGAAGACTGTGGTTCCAGGAACGAAACTCAGAAGCTGGAAGATTGATTCTGCCTTTGACTGGCATGCAAACAGTAGGCAAACGAGCACGCAGAGTCTCTGTAGCGCTCTGGGAGATCAGCCTGGTCTTCTGGAATTGGCTGCACTGCCTCTGGTAGAGTGTGTGTGAGGAACTGGGTTGGAGACGTTGTAGGAGGAAGTAAAGGGCTTTGAAACCTTGGTGCTCGGCTCATCAGCTGTCTCCACAGATGTCCAAGCTGCTCTTCATTGTCTCTAGTGTGCCCTCCTCCTCCTCCTCCTCCTCTTCTCTCTTCCCACCTCTCTCCTCACCCGCCCCTGCCCATTCTCTCCCCTGCCAGTGTCCTGAAAGGTTGGTATTATCTATGCCATTGGAAGCTCTGACTTGGGGGAAACTGAGGTGATGCCACCCCAGTATCCTACTCACAGTCCCACCCCACAGCCCCACCTCCAACTTTAAAGTCGTGTGGAGATATAGAGGCCTAGACCACATTCCTCACAGGGAAAAGGAGCCTTCCTCCCAAGGGTGCCGTGCCAGGACATGGGGACACAGGGAGAGGGTGACTTGCCCTGGAGGAACACGTGGTGGGGAAGATACTTTAGCTGGGCCAGGCCTGGTGCCTGGTGCCTCTCTGGCGCCTGCACTTCCTCACAGCATGCAGAGCTCAGGACAGGATACCTTTCAGATTTATTTTTTCCTTTTTCTTCTTTTTAAAGACAGGGTCTCTATGTGGCCAGGACTTGATCTTGTGATCCTCCTGCCTCAGCCTCCCAAG